TCCCAAGACTTATCCAATGGTTGTGAACATTTAAAACTAACACGAGTCTCTATAAGTGTCTAGTTTTAGGGTCTTACACAGAATCATACCAAACAACATGAATTAAACATGCACTTCATTTATTTACACTAAATAACAAAACTACATCAAATCGGATTGAAGCTAAGGGCATACAAAACTGTCTAACACGGTCAGGTCAACGGGTCACCCAACAGGGTGGCATAAGTACCGAGCCAAATCCATCCGGCGCACCGCGAACTGTACCGCGCTGGGTCAGCACCCCCAGCATGGGGAGTGGGGGCAATTGATGAAGGGTGATTTGGCCCGACCTCGTAGCACGGGGACACGTGTGCGTAACCTGGCTCAAAGAACAGCTCAGTCTGACAGCGCAACCACGACTCGACGGGAGGGGCCCGTCGAGTCCAACACCGGCCTCTCGGTGGGTTAAGCGACTCGCCGGGGACTAACACCCAATTAACCTTGACTCTCACCAAGTGTGGGAGAACCCGGGCTCCTCCTAAGAGACCCCAAGCTCTCCCTTCCTAAGAAAGGAGCACCTCGATTTTTGGCTAAGTATCCCGAGGAAGGAGTACCTCGGGGCAGCACCGCCTCCAGTGCAGGCGCCTCGGCACCACACCTCAGGTGGTCCGGCATACAATAGCTCGGCAGGCTACAAGGAGACCTGCCTGACATCCATACTTTCCGGATGTCCGGGGTAGGCCTTTGATCCCTTGTCAGACGACATTCTGTTTGCCAGGCGGCGTTCTATTTGCCGTCTCTAAAAGGCGTGACGTGCCTATCGAGTCCGTACCTGGCAATAGCAGTCTGTAGCGGCAACCTGCATCTGCCACACCTGCCCTGACAGCAACGGCTAGAGCAATGGCGGTTGTGCCTGGTGTAACCAAATTCCGACATAAAAGAACCCCAACCCTCACGAAGAAAAGGTAATGAAGCTTAAGCACTTTCAGCACTCTTATTCTCTGTTCTTTCTTTGAGATTTCTCTACTTCTAACTTAACCATCGAAGTGTTCCCACTGAGAGAACTCCCCGAAAACCCATCACCTTCTCTTTCCTCTCAGGTGCCGCCCATTCCAACCAGAAGCCAAGTCACAGTCACCTAGGAATGCCCAGATTATGCAACATCAGCATCTAAATCCAAGGGTGACATCTAAATTAGAGCTATTAAACATCATCTCTTGAACTCCAGTGACGATATAACCATATAGAACCGGAGAAACACTTGGATCACCTACTCACGTGACAATGCAGGAGATGCTTCCGGTGGTAGTGTCTTGTGGATAGATATGGATAAAGTTCAAGGTTATTTTTTGGAGTCCGGAAGACAATTGTAGACACCGGGCTGATCTACCTATCACAATTGAATAAGCCAGTGTTCAATACAGATGGGGTCTACACTAAGCACTGACATGTTCATTCGTGATATATAATCCAGCCCAGTGTGTATGATGCTGAGTCACCTAAGACTGTTCCATTACTCCGATTCAATTATAAACTAATTTTTACGTCCACATATATCACATCTGCACCCTATGGGCATCCCACAGCCCAACCGTAATGAAGCATGGGAGATTATTAGAAAAAGTTCTCAATGCACTCTGAGATGTGCATGTGGGGAGCCTGTGGGATGCGCTCTGTGGGGTACAAATGTGAACTCACGGATATCACCCTGGAGTCCGGAAACACACACTCCCAGTATAATCTTAAGTTCTTAACCGGTTGTAACTTGTAAATTGTAATACACCACAAAACAAAGGTAAACAAGTATATTTATTGTTGTCAATCTTGGGCCATTTGTGAAATTTAGAATTTTGCTTCATGTTCACTAATTATTTGGAGTGACCGATGACCGAGATGCATATTTTAATTTTCTTGCGTAAGAAATCCCAGAATCCATACTTGTTATTCAGTTATTCCACTTCCACCCTAAATATAATAAACTGGGGAGACAATAACAGAAAATAAAGAAATTGGGAATAGAAAGGATTTCAATATTTACTGAAACTAATAAAAGTGTACGTGCAAGTGCCAGGATACTTGTGCCATTGTATGTTTAGACAAAAGAAATAAAAAAAGTCCAATGACATAAACTGAACCTACTCAATCTGAAAGATAGTACCGATTAGATTTAATGGTCGATATTCAATTACTAAGTTCTCTAAGTTCTAACCATTGGAATATGACCATTACGACAACCACCCTATCCCACCACCAAATAACTTCCATGGTCATAGTACAGTCTCTTTTTCCCGGTCTTTGTTTTTCCGTGGATAAGTGTATTTATCTGTAATGCGAGTAGCCTCCCGGAGCCCGAGTGTATCATGTGGGTCAATGATCATTGATTAATGTGCTTAACAAAAAAAATATACTCTTTTAGTCTATTTTGCCAAGCCCAATCGAAATTAAAAATTTAAAACCACTGTTTCAAATATAGGTGTCAATGGACCAGGTTTGGTTAGAACCAATCTAAATTAATACAAAATTGAACAGATTGGACGGTCCAGACATTGAATTGGGCTGATCCAAAATGATGCAAAATATTCATTGGATTGGATTAAACCTGGTCCATTGTAATGAACTCACATCCAACTGGATCGAACTGGACCAAATCCAATCCAGTTGACACCCCTAGTTTCAAAGACAAACCGAGTAGACCCGGTGACTGTGCAGCACAACAATTCTCTCTCGCTTGGATAACCAGTTAACAAGTGTATGATTAGGTCAAGGATTGTTCAATTGTTGAAAAAAATGAGTGATAAAAAATGCAAATGTTAAGGTAGATGAATAGAAAAATTAAAAAAATGGGTCATTAATGAAGTCATCCATAAGAACTTGGGAATAACTCCAATAGATGACAAGAGAGAGTAGACTAAGAGCCCGCTTGGAAGGGATTTTCCATTAGAAGCTAGGTGCTATCATTCAGCCAAGGTGGTTGAGCACCCATGTTCCAGAGACGCTACGTAGAATAGCTTCCTGTTTCAGCCATGTTCTGGAGTCCAGAACGCAGTGATCAATTTTCCAGATTTTCACCAAATACAATTTCTAACATTTTGTGTGGGGCCCAACTCGAATGCCAAAAGCTGCATCCCAAAGCCCTCCCAAACGGACACAGATGGTTTGGTCATATCCATAAAGACCTTCAACAGTATCGATTAGATGAAGTGATTTGTTGAAGTTGAAGGGGGCTAGAAGGGTTTAGGGTAGACATTTATAAGAAAGAGTCAGGGTACACAAAAAGGAATTGGGTAAAAGTAGTAATAAACTATGTAACCACTAATTATTTAACAATGGATTGAAAAGATGGGCAAAACAGGATTCATGCACCAAATAAAGCGTGGATGATGATGATGATGAACCTGTCTGGGCAAGTCGCAACCATAGACAAATGCACATCCGAATATCATACCATCATAACAATAATATTGAGTCTTTATCTTTCCCTAATGCAAACAGAGTCAAAACTTAGAGTTCCATTAATCATGAGAAACAAAATCTATGGCAGAAACCTGGATAAGAAAGCTCTTACATCTACCAGACTACCACGAGCCCAACCTAGAGTACAATTTACTCGTAGATCCAAGGGTGGAGGCTGCTCTGCCAACCAACGGTGCCATCAGGGAACCATAATGCGATCTCTTTCTTTGCGCTCTCAACTGAATCGCTTCCATGGATGACATTCCTGTTAAAACAAAATAGGAACTCCATGAGATATTCAGATTTCTCGAGACTATACGCATAGAAGTAGACATGGTTTCACTTGAATTTTGGAAAATCTTATTTGATCATTTTACATTCTCCTGGAAGTAGGCATGGAATTACCACTCATGAAAAGAACTCAAACTTAAGGCCTCTGCTGTAAATTTAGTGATAAATGATGGGTCTAATAAAACGATCAATCATGTAAAATTCAACCCAATCAGACAAAATATAAACAACTTCCCCTTATTCCTTAAGAACCATTTATCATACTCTTGTAGTCTTGTACAGACACCATAACACCAGTACACCAGACCACGTTTAGAGAATCCATTAACAAGCTAAACAACATCTTACTATAAAAGAATTAGTTGCTAACTAAAAAATTCTGAAACAAGTAAATATAGGGTATCTGGTATCCATGGCAAACAGGTCAGATGCATACAAGGTCACACACAAACGGTACTCTAATCTTCACCCCAGAAGATGGCACCTGGCTATATAAACAAGGGTGAAGTTACTGGATGATGAATGCATCCATGATCCAAGGCAAAACCAATCGGATAATTGTAAGTGCGTAGGATGAGGACGATTCACCAATCCAACTTACTGGGTTAATGCTCAGGTAAGTCAACAAACTATACGAGTAAAAATACGTTAATCGTCCGCAAAAAGAGAGAGGGAGAGAAGTAAAGAACTACCTGCCAATCTCAATGGCATAATCACCACGGATAGTGCCAGGGGCGGAATCCGAGGGGTTGGTAGCACCAATGATCTTCCTGCCCGTAACGACGACGTTCTTCCCCTCCCACACCATGGCGATCACAGGACCAGAAATGATGTACTCAACCAGTCCATTGAAGAATGGCTTGGCAGACAGGTCCTCGTAGTGCTTCTCAGCAAAAGCTCGCTCCACGCCCATGAGCTTCAAGCCTAGATTCAGAAACCAACATCCAGTTTAATAGTTAAGAAATAGAGAAGCATAGAATAAACATCACAACTCAAACTAAAATAATCAAGGAGCTTTCACTACCTTTCAAGGAAAAACCTTTCTTCTCAAATCTGCTGATGATATCACCAACCTAAAACAGAAAAATCTATGAGATGATTCCGTTCTCGTTGCACTTCAATATAAGCCATAAATCAAGCATAAACAACTTGGACTTGTTCTGTTCGCAATTAATCGATTACGTCCAATTTAAACACAGATAATTAATAGACTATACTATTATATCCTACAATTTCAAGAAAAATTTGAGATTGACAAACAAATCGAGGTTCTGACGGATCTGATATTGAAAATCGAAAAATCATAAAGAATTAAGGATGATTAGAGAAAAAATGGGGTGAAGACGAACCAGGCCCCTTTGAACGCCATCGGGCTTGATCATGATAAAGGTCTGCTCCATTTTCTTCTGAGTTCTTATCGAGACCCTAGATTTCAGCTGTAGCTTCGCAAAAGTGGAGATAGTAAGGACAGGGAGGAGAAAATAACAGTTTTATAGAGAAAGCAAAACCCTAGCCCTACGGTAACGGAATATCTGTTCAGGTCCTTTGGGATCCTTGTCCAACGAGTTCACTCTCGCCTCTTTAATCCCGAGTTCTTCTTGATACGGACACCTCACATGTAACTCGGTCTGAAGTTCGAACCTCAGTCCAAACGAGAGTTTAGGCGTGATTACACGTGTACTTTCCTGAGCAATCGGTGAAAAGAGCGAATATAAAGAATAATGATATAAAAAATAATGATATCATCATCTGACGTGATGTGAGACATTGTGGGTGGACGTTTGATTTGAATTTTACTTTTTCATTTTTGCTAGAAAGTATATGTGTAATTCTAAATGATGATAATAATAGTTGTAATATATATAATTTTTTTATAAATTTTTATGTATTTTTTTTGTTTTTATATTTTATATATATTATTATTAATGGTATATAGAATGCAAAATTTAAATTTGATTATATAAATATTTCATCCAAATATATGATAATTGGATTGAGTTGTAAAGCTTCAAGTATGGTATCATTGACAAGCCTACCATTGTAAACAGATTTAATCGAATTAGAATCAAGGTATATTTAAATCTGATCCAATACTATTAACAGCAGATCCAATTGCATCTCATGAATATGGATTTGAATACAAGTACAATGAGGAAGTTATATATTTGGATATGATATGTTCCAATTTAATTTAAAAATAATAAAATATTAAAAGAAATTTAAAATATAACAATATAAGTAAAGTACAACAAAAAATACAAGTATCTTTTCAATTATTTTCATCATATATATACATTTTTATAAAAAAACAAATAATATAACAAATTTACAAAAATGCAATACAAATAATGTATTTATAAATAAATAAATAAATAACATACATAAATCTGATTTCTTTTTCTTTCTCCTTCCCTCTTTCCTTCTCCTTCTCCTCTTCCTCCTCCTCCTCCCATCGCCTAAATCTGATTTCTTTTTCTTTAAGCTTGAATCCGATTTATGCGACATTTAGCCATTTATTTATTTTTAATTATTGAACTTGAAATTAATTAATTACTGATAGTTTTGTTACAGGTTTGATTTTTGCTTCTGGCTTGGAATTTGATAGTTGCTTCAGGTTTTTAGGCCACCAAATTCGACCAAGATGAACAACTAGTTGTTCAGTCTTGCAGGTTAGCCTAAGCCTTCTTGAATCATGAAATAGAAATTTAAACTTGAATAAATTTATTTCATGTTTTGAATTTAGGTGATATTGATATTGAAATAGCTGAAAATTGGAACTAAATTTAGAACAGTGATAGTGATAATGTGATACTAAAATAGCTGAAAATTGAAATCAATTTTAGTTTATCATGTATACATTATAATTTTTTAATTGATATTTCTTGAGATGCCTTTGTGATGATGGTGGTTATAATTATGATTGAGTCTTAAACTTTATTGGATTGTTGATGTATTTGTTTTCATTGTGGGACATATTGTCTTAAATTTTGAAAGTTTGAAGTATTTATTTCTATTTTGGATTAATTGTCATTCATATTCAGTAATTTTTTTGAATGTTATTTATTATATATATATATATATTATTTATTACATCAGCACGATTCGACCTCTGGTTTGACCCAGTCAGACATCTAACTCCAGAACCTACCTTTATTGAGTTGATGACCGGCCTGGTTCTCTAAACATTGTAAAGCGAAAAGGTATGTAAGTGTTTAACAGCCATCACCGGCAATTATTAACACCGACAACCGGAGAAAAACTTCAGGTATTTGTTCTTTTAATTTCTTCATTCCCAAGCATTGCATCTTCCCTAAACATTGACCCTAACTGGCTTGAATATAGTAATATTCATTGTCTCGGCAGCATAGGCAACTGTTTCACCACCGGATACTGGCAACCGACGACAAATAGATGATTTTTCAACATCTGAATTTGCTCTCCCTGCAAAGTTCACCTTCACTTGAGGAAACGAGGATTAATCATCCCTAAGATCTCAAGAAACCCCACACGCTCTCTCCCTCCAAATAAGGTCTTCAGCTTCTCATTACACACTATAATCTCTTTGTTTTTAGGATCCTAGAGTAGGAGTACAGATAAGATAAGGAAAACAAATCAGTATGTAAATTCATTAAGGCAACTTGTAGTGTGCATGTTAATTGCATTATCTATAGTTAATATTTTAAATACCTAAACTACTAACTACAACAAGAAGGAAAAGCTATACAGGGATTAAGTCTTGAACCTTCAATGAGATTTTGATCTATGTATACAGTATGTAAAGAGACAATATAACAACTTATCCCATAATACAGCATACAATGTAAGTAGGGAGGGAATTGATCATCAATTCCAACTCCCTCCTTCAGGAAATATACAACTTGAAATTATAAAATCAAATTTAACTTTTATAACCCGCATGAAAATTAAGAAAAATATCCACTTTATAATAAGAAATATATATTTACTATCATAAGTCCCTTTTTCATCTAATTCTTGTTGTATTTGTTATTTGCCTTCTATGATTTTTTTTTTTTTTGCTTTATGGTTTCAATACCACTTAAGGAATGTTATACTTTAAGACCTATATTCTTCATATTGTTTTCTCTTGCTAATAATAATGTTTCTAGCTATTTCCATGTTGTTTCTCTATATTGGTTTCACCCTATTACGACAATAGAATGTTGTCCATATATAGCTATGTATCCAATTGCACCTTTGTGTTTCTCTTAATATGTCAAACTTAATTCTTGATTGAGCATTTATGGTGGCGTTAATCTAATTATATAATGATTTTTTTGGCCAATTCATTACTCTAGTTTAATCTGTCATTTTTTAATGAATTATTTTCATGTTGTTCTAAGTATAAGCTTGTAATCTTTTCTACATCTTTTATTTGTAATGATTTAGGGCCTAAGGTTCAGTTTGGAAGGAGTACAAAAACAAATATGTACAGTGTAAATACATACAAAATAATACAAAATACAAGGTTTTGTACTCTATATATCTGTATTTGTACTCCTTCCAAATTGAGTTTAGGTTTGTGCGAAATCTAAGTGATATATATGATTTAATAGAAAATATGAAGGCATACCAACTAAGAAAAAGTGTTGGAAGAATATGAAAGATGATTAAGGAAACAAAATTATTTGTTAGCAAAAAAAGAAAAAAAAAACTTTATGACCCGACATGCGAACTTGAACTGGCCCAATCCGAAAAAAGTAGGTTAGGGTCCCCTATCTAGTGACCCGAATTAGAAGACTACATGACCCAACCTAATGTTTTCAAACCATGTTAACCTGGATGGTTAAACCCATTTTTTGGTTAAAATTGTTGACTAAATCAAAGGCCAACTGATATGGATGATTGAACCATTAACCCACTTGACCCATGGATCAACCTTATTTGGATTTATGGTTAGGCTACAGTCACGCTGGCTCAGCCCATAATTCGACCCCAACCCAAAATAGCTGAAATTGCTTTGATTGCCAGGTCCAACATAAACCATCCAATCCCTATATATTCAAGAAACTATGAGACATAATAAATGAAACAAAGTATAACATGCATTTAATATGAAATTAAACGAAAAAATGTTGTTAGAAATTAATAGAGAGATGTATAGAGAGAAACCCTTCCTCGTAGTAGTAGAGATGATCATATGTAGTTTTGCTCTAAGTCTGGTATCATAGTGTAAAACTTCTTTTTCATGACAAATTAAGAAGATAAAATTACTAAAAATCTCACATAATGCTGCTCACTATAATATCAATTTTTCAATTTAACTAGTTAATAAGCACCTTGTATTGAGTACGTGGCAACTATTCCCACCTAATTACCGTATATATAGGATCCACCATACATGTGGTGAATCTAGATTAGATTTTTTTACTTGAATTCACCAAGTTTTTGTACATACAAAGCCATTTTATCTAAAAAAATGAGGCCCAAACATGTTTAATTCAACTATAAATTCAATTATCCCATATTTGGATATTAGAACTTGTATTTTATTAATGATCGGATCACATATTCCCTAAAACTAATCACATGCATTTGATCTCAAATTCAACTTGTTTGATTAGATATAGAGATTGATAATTGAATTGGATGCAGATATAGCTGTATCCTATCCTATTACATTCCTAACACCATTATAAATGTGTGGAAAACCTTGATGTCGGTTTTTTGTTATAGGAGATTAAACTGTAGGGTTCAACGATCTGATACCATAGAGACATGATACAAAGGTCTCCTAGTATCAAACCTTTTTTGCGTCATAGATTTACCTCTAAGTTAGCCTTGGTTAATTATGGATATGAGGTGACTTTTGCCTTCAAATTCCAATCTCACTTTTCATCCATTTGATGCAAACAGATCGAATCGGGTATATCCAAATTGGATCAGATCTCACAAACGTTGATTCAAATTCAAAATTGAATATGTTAAGGATGATAGATATCTGAATACAATCCAAAGCATTATACTTTTTCTGAAAATTTTAATAAATTGATAAAATGAAAAGTACGACTTATATAAAAAAAAAACGAAAAATACAAGTAYTTTTTAACTATTTACATCATATATGCATATTTTTTGTAAAGAATAAATAACATAAAAAACATAATATTAACATATTTATAAATAATTAAATGACACACACACATATTTAAAGGAATCATATTACCTGATCCAATATGAAAATCCGATAGGGGGGATATCCGAATCCTACAAGATATGGACTCGGAACGGCCCGATAGTGATCCATAAAACTGAGGCCCAAGTCTACTGGACCAACTCACCTACAAGAGGTGGTAAATGGGTGGTCTGGATTGCGTTGGGTGCGGGTTGAGTACCATCCACACATTGTCACCCATAAACCCACTAATAACCATATTCTTGTTAGTGGGTCATAGCCCACCCTGACTCTCCTCAGCCCGAAACCACCTATATTGACCCGTTTACCCACCT